ATATATATTGGATGTGGTAACAAATGCAAAGAAAAATTGCTGTACTTAAGCCTATATATTTCAACTTCTGTTCTTCTGTACAAACGTGGGTTAAATATATTCCAAAGTTTTATTTAATAAGGTTTATACGGGTTTTAAATTTGAGGGCATTTGTGTCTATTTAAGTGAGTTTTTGCTATATTTGAAAAATTTTACAAAAACTGACATTTTTGAAATTAAGGATCAAGTTTTGGTTATTTTTGATAAATTCTCAAATTTTAGGGACCTATATTGGACAAACCCTAAATTTTATTAAGAAACCACAAAAAGGCACAACAATACAACAAAAAGTAAAATCCAAACAAGCTCGACAACAAGGATATAATTTTTTAGTGGAAAATGTTGGGAACACTGACTTATATCATGATTTGATTTTTCTTTGGCCTACAAATCAATTCTTTTATGTGGAAAATTCTTTTGACTTTGTCACTCAAATTGTACAAATATGGTTGTGTGGCTTTTAAAAGGCAACGTGACGTGTGGGATGGGCTGCCAATTTTGAAACTTATTAGCTTCTTTGAGAAGCCGGTGCAGTATTTATGTGTGTGGGAAACACTCGGCGGATTGATCCATCAAAGAAAACAAAATAATGGTGTCATTCGAATAGACTTGGGAAATTGATCTGGCAACAAGTCTTTCAGTCATTTGCCAAGTTGGTCCCTTCAGCCTCGTTTGTTACGGAAGATTGTCTTGGCATGAACTATTCTAAAAAATTATCTTGGCTTGAATTGGCTTAAGTTGAATAACACTTAACCGATGTTTGATGATGCTTGGATTGGGACTAAATTTAAATTGTTTAAAATATCAATAAATAGGATGATATATTTCAACTTCTGTTCTTCTGTACAAACGTGGGTTAAATATATTCCAAAGTTTTATTTAATAAGGTTTATACGGGTTTTAAATTTGAGGGCATTTGTGTCTATTTAAGTGAGTTTTTGCTATATTTGAAAAATTTTACAAAAACTGACAATTTTGAAATTAAGGATCAAGTTTTGTTTATTTTTGATAAATTTTTTATTAATTTTTTGTCCACTTGGAAATCCACGTCATAAAAAAAATGGGTCCCACATTTGCCACATCATCATTTAACGGATTTTCTGACGATCTCGTTAACGGAGGGGGCAAATTGTAGGTTTTCTGCGACGTTGAGTATGTACTCGTAAATGTCCCTATAATCGAGTATGAACTCGTAAATGACCCTATAGGTTGGGGGGTTTTATGTAGTTTACCCTTTTTATCTTTAAAAAAAACTAATAAAACATATTCATGAAGAATATGTATACACACTTCTCAGCCAAAAAAATTAAAAAATAAATTTCATAATGTCAAAATAAGATTTTCGCAGCCTTAGGTTTAGAGAATGTCACAAGGAGTTTCTATGAATTTTCTGTGTATTTTTTGAATTTTAATGCATTTATTGTAAATTTTAGAAATTTAATCAAATGGAAGTGTAGAAATTTTAATGCAATATTTCTTACGTGTGTCCTTCTACAACAACGTCATGTGTCATTTCAGCTACATTTGTATTATTTATCTTTAATTTGAATTGATTATAACATCTGCTTCATGTGTAATAATAGCCTTGATCGAAGTATGATAACGTCTCTAATTTTTATCTTCCTTTTCAGCCACCAATTGTTGACCATGCATATATATCCTATACATGCATTCATGTGCTTTGAAAGGGGAAAAATAATAGCCTCACATTTTGACTTCACTAAGCAGGGATTTCCAACACGGTTGACTTCTCTTGTGGCACAGATGTTGGCTTATTTTGTATACCTTCTCTTCTCTTCATGAGATTTTTATACTTTTTGTTTCAGGTTTTTACTCAGCATTGGTTATCTGCTTAAATCTCACTACAGGATTATTTTTCAATTATGTTTAATTTAATTGTTTTTTTGCGAGAGCATAGCAGTTGTTGATCTATTTTCCTTTTTCTTGTTTCTGCAATTAAGGGACTCTTGCACGGTTCATATCAAACAGACTTTGATATTAAATATGAATTATGAATTCAATTAAGTTAAATTGTCGGCGGATGTGTGTGTGTGGGTCCTTGCGTCTGGGGACGAGGAGGAGCCCCGTCACTTAGCTGTCGTCTTGTACTTTTTACTATTTTTCAGTTTCATCAATAATAATGTGGATATAAAAACAACGCATCTGACTTTCATAAGACGTGGCTATGATGAAAATCATTACTTGCAATTTCTTTTGAAGATTTTCAATATAAGACATATTTTAACTAGAGGGAGGATTTTTTTTTTTTTTAAATATTTAAAAAAAGAAAAAAGAAAAAAAGAGAAGGGGAGTTTTCAATACACATTATTAAGATGTCATAAGAGTTCGGACTTAAAAACATTAATTTGTAAATCAAAATCATTTTCTACTAAGCTAGAACTCGTTCACATTTGTTACCTATTTTCTGGTTAAGCTAATTTTTGTTGTTGTCAATAAACTGTTTTTAGATTCCAATAAACAAAAAGCCAAAGCTCGTTGAGAATTTATCAAAAATAGCCAAAACTTGACCCCCAATTTTAAAAATGTCAGTTTTTGTAAAATATTTCAAATATAGCAAAAAAAAACTAACCTAAATAGACACAAATGCCCTCAAATTTAAAACCCACATAAACCTAAGAAAAAAAAACTTTATTAGATTGGGAATCTTTGTATATATATATATATATATATATTAGTCCATATTTATTTATGTCTCTCGAAACCATGTCAGATATATGTTAATTACACATGTTTTATAAAAAATAAAATTAATTGATGATTAAATTGGAAAAATTGAAATTACCTGATGAAATTTTTTTTCGTACCTAACTAACTCTAGTAACTAAAAATGCTTTTTACCGTTTTGTTTTTACACTTTGTTTATTTTTCCTGTTTTGCCTTTTTAAAATGGAGTTATTTTCTGATGAACTTAATGTAACATTTGATTGTTTTTTCATGAAATTGTTTGTAGTCTCATTATTCGTTGGTACTTGGCACCACCACCAGACAAATGCCAACAAATACTTGTGGTAATACAGTACCATGTTATAAAGTAGATTAGTGACAACTATCCAGGTGTCGTCTCGTTATTCGTCTATACCACCACCAGACAAATGCCATGGTGGTAATGCAAAACCACTTTATAAAGTAGATTGGAGGTATCTAACGATCAGTTGGTGAGAAATGCATGTGTCCACAAATATCAAAATGGTAGAGCCCAGCAAGACTTCTCTTGAGAGTTAAAGAAGCTATATAGCTCCTCTGCCTGTCTCTGCGTGCTATTGCTGTCTTGTATTGCAAATCTGCATTCATCATCTCCTTCTCCTTGTACCTACGAGAGAAGCTCTGTGCCTGTGCGTCTTCATCCATCTTCAGTCTCCTCTTCTCGTTTCTTAATTAATTAACTAGCATTAATATGATCTGCTGTTTGTCTTGCGCAGGGTTACACAAGGAAACTAAGATGGCAGTAGAATCTGTGCTTACGTTTGCGGCCGAGAGAATACTGACGAAGCTGACTGACCTTGCTGCTCAAGAATTCCGTATGGCCTGGGGATTCAAAGCTGAACTAAGGAAGCTCCGTGAATCCTTACCCATCCTTCAAGGTTCCTTGGACAAGGCAAACGATGCTGCTGAGCAGGCAAAAGATGGGGGCAAGGCAGTGGAAGATTGGGTGAAGAAACTTAAACACATAGCTGATGAGGCTGATGATGTCTTGGAAGAAATCAACTATGAATTTCTCTGGAGACGAGTAAAATTGCAAAACCAAATGGGGAAAAAGGTGCTCAACTTCCTTTCTGCCTCAAATCCCATTTTGTTTCGACAAAAAATGGCACACAGAATTAGAAAAATCAGCGCTTCTCTGGCGGAGCTCAAGAATGACTCAACTTTCGTTGGGCTTGGGTTGGTTGCAAAGGACAAAGATCCAACCCCTCAAGGAATTAGGGAGGACAGAGTAACCGACTCATTCTTTGGTAAAAATGAAATCTTCATTGGAAGGAATGCGGTTGTGTCAGATATAGTTGCAAGATTGACCAACTCCAATACTAATGAACAAAATCTGTCGGTTATGGCGATTGTGGGAATGCCAGGACTGGGAAAGACAACTTTGGCCAAGTCAGTGTACAATGAAGGTGCTATCGATGACTATTTCAACAAAAAATTGTGGGTGTGTGTATCAAACACTTTCAACGTCCATTCGATTTTAACTGCAATGTTAGGAAAGGTAGCCCCGACTCAACAAGCATTGCTTACAGACCTCCAAAAAGAGTTGAAAGAGCAAAAATACTTGCTGGTACTTGATGATGTTTGGAATGAAGAGTCTGAGAAATGGGAAAGGTTGATGAGCTGTTTGTCAAAGTTGAATTCTGCTCCAGGAAGCAAAATTATTGTCACTACCCGCAGTGGCATAGTTGCATCACTCACAGAAACACTTCCGCGGCCTAAATTGGAACTTCTATCAACAGATGAATGCTGGTCCATATTGAAACATTACTCATATGGTAGTTCTAATATACCTCCTCATTTAGAGAGTATTGGACGGGAGATTGCTGAAAAATGTGATGGTCTACCATTGATGGCAAAGGTACACATATACATATACATATATATATATATATATATATATATTTATACATAAGTAAAATCATTTAGGGATCATATCATGAATGGGTTATTTTGAATTGCATTGATGCATTTTTATGTAGAAGGAAATAACAAGGTCTGAAAGAAGAGAACAGTTTCATGTCATCATGCCCATCACAATCTCTTTCTTCACAATCACTTTATTAAATAGAAATCAACAAAGACGTTCCAGAAGGCATTTTGCACTAGTTCCCCACCGGAAAAACCCTTTAGATTCCAACTCTTGGCTCAATTTTAGCATCCAATTGTCTACAAAAGTGGATTATAGAAACTAGTACAAGTAATTTTTTTTTCTTTTCCTTATAAAGAGGAAAAAATAAAATTTTGGGCAACAAGTACCATGCTTAAGTGCAATAACTAACATACATAATGGTTCGCACAAAACCAAAGAACTAACAGTCAAAGGGCAAGACTGTCATTTGAATCTTAAAAACCTAAATATTAGATTAAAACGAGTTACTAATTATAGCAATGCAACTCAAAATATATAGTTTGTGTGTCACTTTGCACATATTCTGTCACACTTTTCCCCTTTTACTAGTTTTTATGTGTCATAAATAGGAATTCATAAAGTTCATCAAAAAAATTTGTTAAATCTTTGGGTCTATTTTTTTCCTCACAAGGATGCCAGGTTGGCATCACATAGACGTAGACAAAAATATTTTACGTTTTCACTTTGCCCCTTAATACTTACATTCACTTTTCACCTCACCAAATTCCGTTGAGTCCGTTAAGCATGCGAACATGGTGCAAGCCTAATAAAAATATGGGAAATGCTAGCAACATGCTAAAAATATGGGTGGCTTGGGATCGGGCTGTGATGATTTTTGACTTTTTAGTTTCTGTCAAGGCCATATATGGAAATACAATTTCATATTTAAAAAAAAAAATTAAAAACATTGTTGTTTTTGGGTAAAATAGGGGGCCAAAGCCCAAACAACACAAAAGAATTACACAACAATCATCCTTGGACGAGCCAAGCTTCTGGCATCAGCAGCAAGAAGATCAACAACCACACTAGGAGCTGAATCCAAAATATGCAAACCCAAGGGAAGATCATGGCTCATAGAAACCAAAGAATCAGCAACAAAATTTTGCTCACGAAAAATGTGCTTGACAGAACAGCACCAGTCCTTTCGAGTCAACAAATAGCAGCAATTGATAATGCTAAAAAGAGGATGGGTATGACTAGGAGGATTCAGCAACAAACCCACAACAGACTTAGAGTCACATTCAACCTCCACACTACGAAACCCAGCTTCCTAAGCTAAATGGAGCCCCCAAAAAATTCCCCATAACTCAACCCCAAATTAACAGAAAAACCTTTAAGCCAATTATCAGCATGATCTCTTAACAGACCCCCAGCTCCAATGTACCCAAGAGCATGCTTACAACTACCATCATAATTAACCTTACACCTCCCTGGCAAAGGGGCTTGCCAATGAAGATAAACTACACCCTGATGAAGAGGAAGAGAGATAGGCTTAGTGGCTGTAAGCCAATCCTTAGCATACTACAGAATCACCTGCTGCAGCTCATAGGGAAGCAAAAAACCATGTTCAAAAACAAACTTACATTGCCATTTCCAGATAAACCAAAGGCTAACAGCAAACACCAAATTCCAAGCCAAACCAGTCATAAGAGATCTCTTGGAATGCAGATTATGGAAGAGCCAGTCATCAAAATTAGGATACAAAACACTGGATTCCTCAAACCAACTACCAAACTGGTTCCAAATTAAAAAAGAAGAACTACAACCTTTAAACAAATGCTCAACAGATTCAACAGGATAAATGCATCGAGGACATGAAGTAGAAACTGCCATACCTCTACGGTGCCTTTGAGCATTAGTAAGGAGTTTTTTGTGACAAAGCACCCAAAGGAAGGACTTAACCTTAGGAGGCAGCCGCAACCTCCAAATAAACTCCCAATGCCAATTAGAACCAGCCTCAACTGGACAAAACAATTGATAGGCAGAATTCATAGAAAAATTTCCATTAGAAGTAAACCTCCAAGTGCACATATCAGGACCACTATCAATGAAGCCAGCATGAATACTAGTAATCATCAGCACAATATCAGGAGGAAGATACTCTTGCAAGCAAGCAATATCCCACAAACCTTCTTCCAGAAAACACTCACATTCAACTGGAGCATTTCCTCAGACAAATCAATGAGGGCATAATTTATAAGAGCACCACAACTTAGCCAAATATCAATCCAAAACAAAATGGAATCACCAGAACCTACTCTCCATTTAACACCAGAGGGAAGAAGCTTAGCACCAAATAACACACCCCTCCAGCTGCTAGAGCAACTACGAAACTGATGCTCATTAACAGACAGCATATCACAGTTTTTTAAATACTTAGCCTAAAGAACTTTGGCCCAAAGCCCTTGGTCATTCTGAAGAAGTCTCCAACCGGATTTAGCCAATAAAGCTTGATTCATCCAAGCAGACTTTTTCACTCCCAAACCATCAACACATTTAGACTTACACACAGTTTCCCAGTTCACAAGATGCACCTTAGCCTTATCAAAGGCATGCCCCCCAAAGAAAATTCTTGTTTAACTGATCCAGCTTGGAACAAACAGAAGCAGGCAACATAGCAGTTTGCATAGAATAGATAGGAATAGCCGAGGTGACTGATTTCAATAATGTGAGCCTGCCAGCCATACACAACGTGTGGCTTTTCCAATAAGATAGGCGTTTTTTGACTTTATCAATAATTTCCTGATAAGTATCTTTGGTAACTCTAGTGTGAATTAACGGAACTCCAAGATACTTACCAAGGTTATCAGATAAAGGAGAACCACTAATAGAGGCAATATTTTGATTAAAACCAGGACAAGTATTAGGGGGACACACAAACCATAGATTTTTCAAAACTGACCTTCTGACCAGAGAGAGAGCAAAAATCATCCAAACACTGCTTCATCACTAAAGCCTGCTCAATAGAGGCCCTCCCAAAAAATACCAAGTCATCAGCAAAAAATAAATGAGAGATAAAGGGCCCTCATTGGCAAATCTGCACAGTCTTCCAACTTTGGTCAAGAACTTTCTGCTGAATTATATGGGAGAGCTTTTCCATACAAAGAACGAAAATGTAACGAGAAAGAGGGTCTCCTTGTCGTATACCACACTTAGGAGAGAAATCAGATGTTAACTCACCATTTAAAATAGCTTTATAACGCACAGAACTAATACAGTGCATGATGAGCTCCAAAATTCTCCCCCCAATACCAATTTCACAAAGAACCTCTTTAATAAAAGACCAACTTAAACGATCATAGGGCGTGGAAAGATCAATTTTCCAAGCAATAAAACCCCTTTGACCTTTAGCAACCTTGAACTTATGAAGCATCTCTTGAGCAATCACAATATTATCAACAATATGTCTCCCTGGCACAAAATTGACTTGAGTGGAGCTAACAATTTTAGTCATGATAGGACGAAGCCTAGAAACTAAAATTTTAGAAACCACTTTATAGAGAGTATTACATAAACTAATAGGCCTAAGTTGAGCCATATTAAGAGGCCTCTCAACCTTAGGAACCAAAGCAATTAAAGTATCATTAAGGTGCTCAGGAAGAGAAGCTCTGACAAAACAATCCTTGACAAGAGAAATGATATCCTTAGAGCAAAGATCCCAATAATTTTGATAAAAAAGAGCAGGAAACCCATCAGGCCCAGGCGTTTTCAACCCACCAATAGCAAATAAACTACTTTGAATCTCCACATCAGAAACCTCACCATTTAACCTTGTACAATCAGAGCGCTCAAGCGGAGGAAAATACTGGGGAAATAATGAACACTCACTAGAAGAAGTAGCCTCACTAAACAGCCCTTGAAAATAGTGAACAACAATTTGTTTCATACCTCCTTTCTCAGAAATCCACTCTCCAGCATCATTAGTCAACCCTTCCAATTTATTACGGCGCCTTCTAATAATAGTAGTAAGATGGAAAAAATTTGTATTCCTATCACCTTCCTTCAGCCAAGTGTTTCTAGATTTTTGCAACCAAAACATCTCTTCTTGATCAAGGATGAGATTATACTCTGTAGTCAAATCAGTTTCCAACTGACTAAGGAAATGATTAAACTGCCTACATAAGCTTCTTTGAATACCAGCAAGCCGAGCCAAAATCCTTCTTTTCTTTTGAAAAAGACACTCAAACACCTGCTTATTCCAACGTTGCAGAGGCCAAATAAGACTAGCAGACTTCTGAAAGGCATGTCTTTTACCAAAATTCCACAAACCAGACAGGAACTCAGAAAAGGTAGGATGACTTAACCACATTGCTTGGAATCTGAAAGGAATAGATTTCGTAGCAGGAAGATGGTTGGAAAAGAACTTAACCATGATAGGACAATGATCAGAATTCACTCTCGGAAGGTGAGAAAGGTGAGCTTCAGGAAACAAGAATCTCCAATCAATATTACAGAGACCTCTATCAAGCCGTTTCCAAATAATATCCTCTTCACCCCTTTTATTACACCAAGTAAACTTAGCGCCAGAAAAACCCAAATCAATAAGGTGATTCCTATCAATCCACTCAATAAAATGCTGACCACCAAGCTTCTCCTCACCACAAACAATATCATTAAAATCCCCCAGCAAAAACCAAGGTAAATTACAAACAGTAGCCAACCCATCAAAATACTTCCAAAGAGAAGTTCTCACATTAGAACACAGACTGGCATAAACTACTGTTAGCAACCACCTCTTAGCATCCATAGTAACTAAAGCAGTAATGGTTTGACTCGAATGAGCAACAACATGTAAGGAAACAGAATTACCATTCCAAAGAAGCCACACACCCCCAAAAAAACCAATAGGATCCACAATATGATAATTGGAAAATCCCAAACTCTTTGCAACAGAGAGAGCTCGAGAACCACCAATTCTAGGCTCAAGCACAGCAAAAACATCAATACCATAAGCCTTTTTTAAGTCCCTAATGGTACTGGCACACTCTACCTTGCCAGCACCATGAACATTCCAAGAAACAATTATCATAAATATGATATGCAAAGAGAGGACAGAAAGGGAAAACCTCATCAAAAAGCAACCTACTCAGCCTCAACATCAGAGGCATTAAAATCAATCGACATACCACCCAAATCAACCGCATTACCAACGGAAACATGCTCATCCTCACGGGAATCACTGGACTTAACTAAATGAGACTCACCCTCATTCAACTCCATCTGACCAATATCAGGAGGCTCTGTTCCATGCAACACCACATTAGCACCCCGAAAATCCGCAGGCAAAGAGGCAGCATCCATATTAAACGAGAACAAGCCCTAAACATCATCTTGCACATCAGAGCCTCGAACTTGCATACCCAACGCTCCAACATTCAAATTACTACGAGTATGCCCACCCTTAGCCTTCCTAGTGCTGATAGACCCAACACCAGGCTTCAAACCCACAGTACTGTTCTTCTCCAACTTAGCATTAGTAATGTCTTTCAAAGGTTTTTTGAAAACCCACACCTTAGAATCCTTAGAAAGACCATTTCTCTTTCTAACCTCATTTCTGCTACTCCCAGTAGACTTAGCAGAACCATTAGCAGGGGTAGCCACTTGCTTAATAGGCTTACTAACCTCATACTTAAAAGGATTCACAACCTGCTCATCTGCAGCCTCTTGAGTAACATCATTATCCAAAACAGTGAACCTTGAACCAGAATAGGCATTCTTAAAACCTCCCTCAATTTGAGGTGAAGTCGTAGCAAAATTAACACTAACAAATCCTTGTTCCTTATGAAACTTCTTCTTAACATTCTTCTGCGGTAACAACATCCATTGACCATGAAGCTTCGTAGAACTCCCCTCACCAACCTTCTCAGGACTAAAAGCATCAATATCATCCTCCTTAGCAGGAGTGTTAACCTCCATATCCATAGCATTTTCAGTTTCAGCAACCTGAGCCTTGGCTTTCAAAATAACAGGACAATTATCCCTACCATGCCCATAGCAACCACATTCAAAGCAAACCAACTTAATCCCTTCATACACAACACCATAAGATCGACCTTCAACTTCAATGAAAGGAACAAGAGGCTTTGACAAATCAAGTTCAACACAAATTCGTGCAAATTTACCTCTCGCTTGGCTCATAGTGAGAGCATCAACCTTGACAGTATGACCAATCAGATTGCCAATTTTTCCCATAACATCCGGTCGAAAATACTCAACATTGAGACCATTTATTAAAAACATTGTTTTGAGTGAGGGATAAGTACTACATGTCATTAGGAAAAGGAGAAGGTTAGGGAGAAGATTACTAGCGTTATCCTAAAAATATTTAATATTTTAAAAATCTAAAAAAGATAAATTAAAATTTTAGTGTAAGAATAAAAAAAGTCAATAAAGCTTAAATAAAAAATAAAAACTATTTCTATGATACCGGCAGGCCTACCACTTGCCAACACTTTCATTCCCTTCAAATCACATAAAATCAATAAAAAGCAAAAGCAATTAAAAAAATTTAAAAAGAAAGAAAGCACGTGCACAAGAAAAGAAAAAAAGGGAAAAAAACAAAGCAAGTCGGCCTCAAAGAAGCTTTGCTTGTCTCAAAACCCACCTGGCTCTTTTATAATTGTCAGGTTTTTTAGGTTTTAGACATAAAAAAAATTTCACTTCTAGAAAAAGCCAAAATTTTTTCAAAAAAGACAAAAAAACCGCTCAAGAACAGAGAAGTTTGATTACATGTATGTAAGATAAAATTATGGGTGAATATTTGCATTACTCCAACAGTTAAACGTTCCAAACATAACCAGATTTGCACCCCAACACTATGTATAATTATGGGCGAATTTCACTTAGACCCCCTAACGTTTGGCATTATTACGGTCAGACCACCCCAGATTTGATTTATTCCACTTACACCCTTATTTTTAATAGATGTTAACTCACACTAAAAGTAAAAGGCCAAGCCTGTCATTTGAATCGTAAAAACCTAAATTTAAGATCAAAACTAAAGGAAAAAAAAAAAATTAAAGCCAAGTCATCCCAAAGCCACCAACCCAACGGCCGGAGCCAACAACACGTCTCTCTTCCACAGCCATCAAGGCACACCTTGAGCTATTTAAGCCCAACCAACCTTAAATTCCCTCAATGAATCGAGACGAACAAAAACGAAGAATACCCCAATGCCAGCTACCAATCCAATCAAGAACCTCATTAGAAAATATATATATATATATATATATATATACAAAAAAAAACAAAACAAAACAAAAAACAAAAAAACAAAAAAAGCAAACAAACTCCAAAAATCGTAAAACCCTAGCTACCAATCAATTCTATAAAATAAAATAAAAAAAGTGAAACTTTTTGCCCAAAACATACAACCCAAGCTACAAATCCAATCCAGTCTCCTTTTATCAGATAAAATTCCAAGAGTTTTAGGTGTTTGTTAAAACAAGTAATATAGGGGTCTAAATTCCAAAGGAAATGGAAAATTTGATCCACTTGAGGCATGTTTATTTCGACAAGGATAAGGAAGTTCCATTTGGGATGAGACGATTGACTCGTCTGCAAACATTACATTACTTTAATTTGGATGAGGAAAGGAATCATGGAATTGACGAGCTGGGTGGCTTAAACCAATTAAAAGGTGAACTATCTATCTCATCTTTGGAACTTGTGAAAGACAAAGACGAAGCGAAGAAATCAAATTTAGCAGGGAAAGAAAATATACGAAAGTTGACATTAGCATGGGGGTATGAACGGGAGAGAAACGACAAGGTGAGTGAAGTTGATGTACTAGAAGGCCTCCAACCGAACCGTGAGTTAGAAATCTTAAAGATTGAGAGCTTCATGGGTGGCAAATTAGCATCATGGATGATGAGTCTACTCAATTTGAAAGAGATCCGGTTATCTTACTGCAGGGAATGTGAAGAAGTCCCTCCACTCGGCCATTTGCCAAATCTTAGGCATGTTGAATTTGAATCTATGTATAAGCTTAAATGTGTGGGAGTTGAGTTTTATGGTGCGGCTTTGTTTCCATCATTGAAAACGTTAGTTTTTAATAATTGTCCAGCTCTAATTGAATGGAAGGAAGTGGATGTGATTAAGCCAGCAGCGGTGTTTCCCTGCCTTGAGGAGTTGACTCTTTTGAATTGCGGGGAATTGAGAAATGCTCCAAGTCGTTTTCCATCTCTCCAGAAGTTGAAGATACATTATATTGACCAGGTCATGGCAATAGAAAATATATGCAGTCAACTAACCACTCTCACTCACCTCGAAATTTGTGGAGCCACAGAGCTTACTCGTCTGCCAGTAGGGATGCTGGAAAACAACCACAATCTTCGGGTGCTGCATATTGACCATTGCAATGAGCTTAGCCATTTACCTGATGAGCTACACACACTCCGTCTTCTTGAGGGGTTAACTCTAGAGAATTGTCCTAGTCTAGAGTTCATTCCAATTACCACCCAGAGCCAGGGCATGCCATGTCTCCGCTTAGTGAAGATTCAGAATTGTGAGAAATTATCAAGCTGGCCGAGTGGGTTGGAATATTGCACCTCTCTTCAGGAATTGCGTATTGTAAATTGTCAAAATTTGAGGCATTTACCGGTTGACGGGCTACAGACCCTCGTCTCTCTTAAGGAGTTGACTCTAATTGACTGTCCCAGTCTAGAGTTCATTCCAATTACCACCCAGAGCCAGAGTGGGTTGGAATATTGCACCTCCCTTAGGAAATTACATATTGAAAATTGTCAAAATTTGAGGCATTTACCGGTTGATGCACTACAGAACCCCGTCTCTCTTGAGGAGCTGTACATACAGAATTGCACTAATCTAGAAGCTATTCCCAATTTAGACAACCTCACATCCTTCAGTGATTTGTTTATTTGTGGTTGTGATGGACTCACAAGTCTACCGAGGGGGCTACAAACTTGCACGTCTCTTAGGGACTTGGTAATCTGGGAATGCCCCAATTTGATCTCTCTGGCAGATGATATATCCAGGTTGCAATCTCTTTCCACTTTACAAATAGTTGATGGTCGGAAATTAAAATATTTGCCAACAGGGCTACGCTCTCTGACGAGTTTGGAATGTATGACAATCGGTAAGTTTTGGGAAGAGCTCGATTCTTTCCCTGATTTTGAGCTTCCATCACAAATCCGATGGTTAAAGATCTCAGGGTGGCCTAAGCTCAAGTCTCTGCCTCAACAAATTCAACACTTGACTACTTGTTTAGAAAATTTGAAAATAGTGTCTTTCGACAGCATGGAGGCTCTTCCAGAGTGGTTGGGTAACCTTACATCTCTTATCTGCCTGGATATTAGGGATTGTAAGAATCTGATGTATCTGCCTACCGTTGAAGCTATGCAACGCCTCACCAGATTAAGAGAACTAGACATTGATGGATGTCCCGGTCTAGAGGAAATATGTGCCAAGAAGAGCGGCCCAGAATGGCACAAGATTTCTCACATCCCATATATAAGAGGTAATTAATACTCTGATCAAATCAAATCATTAATTAATTGTTTGTTCAATTCCCTTCTCACTTTTCTTTCTACAGTTGACGGAGTTGACCTGCCTAAAGAATCGGAATCTTCAAGTGATGATTCGACTCACTCAAAGCCTCACCAAACTAGCACAGTACTCAACTGTTCATGTTTTTCATGAATGTTCCCTTCGGGGAGTAGCTGCAACTTTCACATTGAAGCACAAAGTGAGCCTCTTCTTAATGTTTTTGCAAAGCTTTATACTTCCTATGTTGCTTTACTCATGGCATCTATCATCATTTCATCAATTGGTATAATTTGCCTACTTTCAGAAGGCTTTTACTCGAATCAGAAAAACAAGTGCTGAGAAACATTAGGTGAAAACTTTTTCCATCCTGGTACTTCTGTTTCCCATTTGCTAAAAATCGTTTTCATATTGAATTATCCGAATATATATTGCACAGGGGTTTAGCTTAGTTGTTTCACTGATGGCATCTAATATTATTTCAATTTGCCACAGTTTGTTGGTTTTCAGAAGGATCTTACTCAATTGGAAGAACAAGTGATGCGCAAAAGGTGCAAACTTAGTGCAGGTACTTCAGTTCAGTTCCCATTCCCCTGCATCACTATTTATTCATTTCTTTGGAGATAAATGCTGGAAGAAAAAAAAAAGTAACAGTGTTTGATGAGAATTTGGCTAATCATTATATCATACATTCCCATCTAATCATAACATCACTTTACTAGCATGGAGAATACAATTATTCTTAGAAATCATTTTCCTATTTATATATACATCTCCCTAAATTAATTTCATTACACTTTCTATCAATGAAGTACCTGCTCTGTATAAATATTTGTTCGACTGCATTTAGAGTCATGCGTAGCGACTAACTGGAAAAGTTTCCACCGACAATTAGATATGTTATCAGTGATATCAAACCTTAACACTTGCATACCTACTGTCATCACTTGAAACTCTTTCATTTTCTTCCCTTTTTGTCTTCGTCTTTTGCCGTTCGACTGCAGTTAAGTTTTCATATATATATATATATATATATATATATATATTTTCAAAGCTTCAATTACCGTGGTCTCTTTATGTGGAAACTTACAGAGAAAGTACTACCATTTGAAATTTTCAAACACCAGTTACAGTTTCCAGTTTAATTTATTTTCTGTTTTGCTAAAATGAATCAGTGAACAAGTTCTAGATCATATAACATACATTTGAATTCTCAGACTTAAATGAATCAATGCTATAAACTTGGATTTTTTTAACACAGGAGGGGTACAATTGTTAATCTCATATTAATTCATTATTCTAGGATTCTACTTGTTAATTAAATCTAGGTTCATATTGGTGTTCAATTTTCTGGTGCTGCCAATCTTATATTAGCGTAGTTTCTTTCAAGTGTAAACGCCACTTCTCTGTTCTTGGAACTCTATAAAGTAACCAAGAGAAGTGTTTGGCGCCAGAAAATTATTCCTGTTGTTTCAATAAGAATTCTTATTGGATAGTATTCCTTGTTTTTTCAATAAGAATTGGTTGTAAATTGTTTGCTTCATCTATTAATCTGCAACATTTGTTATATGCTTCCATCTTACCACTGGATGCATTTGGCACCTCTCTTTCCTCACTTTGTAACCATTGTGTGAAGAATCCGAGTTATTATGAGATAACCTACACGCAGTAATGTCTCTTCAGAATTTGATGATACTCCTTTGCAGATTTGGGGCTAACATCCATTTGAAGTGTAAACAGTCCTTAGAAGTTGTTTATAAAAATTTGATGAAATGGAGGGTTTACTGGAGTGTTGAGGGAACCTTGAAGCTTTCAGTGAACTATCTATTTGTATATGTGAGAATCTGAAGAATCTACCAGCAGTGGAAGCTCTGAAAACTTCCCCAAAATGAAAAGATGCACCGAGGAGAGCCAGTCGTGTACGTTTCTTTCTCAAATCGGAATTTATGATTTGTTTTCTTCTCTCATTTATCGTTAATTAACTTATTGGCCATTAAGTTTGTTGAGAAGAAGAAGAAGAAGAAGAAGAAGAAGAAGAAGAAGATATTCAACTCCTACGTAGTTTGTTTGGTTTTAATTGCTTCGTTGAAGGAACTATAAATACGACTTTGTGTTTTCACGATCTTTGTGGAATAACACTTAAAATTGGTGAGGAAAATTAGGTTTGTTAGTCTGGAAGACAAACTAATACATAGAGAACAGGCAAGACCAGTTCAACTCTTACACGATTTTGTTCCAATTTTCCGGATCTGCATACAGAAGCTTTTAGTCCTTATTTTCATAAAATGGCCTTGTTTTTGTTGCTGGTGTATATGTGGCCATGGTTTCATTGCAACATTTGTAATCCTCTGTTTCATATTTTAATTTTTCTCTCTTTTGCAGGCAAGGAGATACATGGCATAGTGCAGCCAATGGTGTTTTTCATAATGCAGGTTTCAGCTATATATGTGGCATATCATATCAGTTGTTGACGGTGATTAACTTTTTTACCTTGAGTATCTTATAGTACACTAAAATAATAATCATGATACATGCTGAGTATCTTGTAGTCCTCTGTTATTGTCATTTTTACTTATGTTGTTGCAAGAATCGGATAAAGGAGTCTTCAGTTATAAGCTTAAAGGTTGTAGGTAATTTTGAACATTTCTTGCTAAGTTTATCTTGGTGTTATATTGACCAGGCAGAGTCGAGATTGAAGAAGAAACTCATGCATGCGATGTGCTTGTGATCTAGAACTTATTGTTTTGGACAATATGGTAAGCTACTATCCCTTTAGTTTGTTTTCTTGACACTCATTAATAAATAGAGTTATATTCTTATTTATGAGATAACCTACACACAGTCATGTCTCTTCAGGATTTGATGATACTATTTTGCAGATTTGGGGCTCGCATCCATTTGAAGTGTAGACAGTCCTTAGAAGTTGTTTATAACAATTTGATGAACTGGAGGATCTACTTGAGTGATGAAGGAACCTTGCAGCAGTCGATGAACTATCTATTTGTATGTGTGAGAATCTGAAGTATCTACCTGCAGTGGAAGTTCCAAAATTGTCGCCAAAACGAAAAGATGCACTGAGGAGAGCTGCCCGAGTGGCAAAGGTTTTCTGCATCTATGCTTTCCTGTTTCAGGTTTTAATAATCCTCTCCTTTCCAAGCAAGGACGATAGTGCATAAACCACAACTCACATTCCAGCAGCAGATTTAGAGACTTGCTGCAGAGCATTGGCAATCTCATCAGCTTTCGCTTTCCCACTTACATAGATGACCAAGGGGCTCTCTGGAGGAACAATGTCATCTCTTAGATAGCTTCCAGATGTTCTTAGCAGCTCTTCTGAACCCTTTGCCACCACCCCTTTCATGATTATGGTCTTATGAGTCCCGGATATCATTTCTTCATAATCGGTGTCCCCACTTTCTCCGAGGAAAACATACATGTTTGCAACATTCAATCTCCAACGAACAAAAAGGTACCTAACAATCAGAAACGAAGAAACTGGTTATCAGTTTTTAACTATGTAATTAGGCCCCAGAGTCATTCCGCCATTACAAAATCTACTGAAAGCTAATAACTACTCAGGGCACCCCATTCCTCACCACTTGTGCCAAGGACCAAAGGTGGTTCATAACTTCAATCAGCAGTCTCCTTTCCCTTCTTTTGAAAGAAGTCAAAAGTGACATAGAAAAACTTTTACGGTCACTCGTTTTTGCAAAGGTTCAATTTCCGTACAAGCAATTAACCAAATTGACACCAAATGCTATGAAAATTAAGATTGTCCTCATTTCACAATTTAAGCACAGCATAAGGATCTTGTACTGTGAACAAAACAACAGAATCATTTAAACATAATGATCTCTATTAAATCTAAACTTCAATTCTATGTCCTTTTCCTTTTTCTATTTTCATGCAAATCTAATCTGGGATTTAGTGTAAAGCCACCATCCCTTGACAATGAGTAAATGAGCAACAAATAAGGATATTACAACAGGTTACATATTATTGTACCAAAGTATCCAAAAAGATTGTCAGCAACCATTTTTCTTATTGAGGTTGGTCCCTGAACACTCCCTTATTGCGTTTATGGTACCAACGTCCATACTTTAAGGCTTAAGCAAATGCAATTTCAAAGGTAAAAGACACAGTAAAACTAACTGTTAACTTATAGAGGATGTCCACGTATTCCAAGTTGTAAATATCAACAATACCTTAGTGCCTGTGCTCGAGAAGCAAGGAGAGGAACAATTTGCATTCTTGTTGAGCTCCTGGAGTACATTGGATGGCAACGCAGACCCCGCATCCTGAGTTTCTGCCTCAAATCATCAACTTTCCTTGCCTGCAGAAGCATACATTTTGAATTCAATCCAAAATAAATAAAACCGAATAATTTCTAAATTGCCAACACTCTAAATTTAGAAAGTTCATCTACCTTACTAGGATCCTTTATTAAGTATGAGATGCAATGAGCGTTGCTTGATTTCAAATCCTCCTGAATGTGGCTGGAAGCTGCAGAATTTCGATCACCATCAGGGGCATTCAACAGCTTCCAAATGGTTTTCTTTAAACCTTCACAACCCCAACGGTAGTCAATATGTGATGCATAATCTGGATCAGGGAAAAGTCTTCCATCTTCTTCTGTATAAGTACCAGGGTAGTAAACTTCACTTCCACTGCTACAAACCAACGCATCAAACTCATTTGCCTGTATCTTCCCCGATCCCAAAAACTCTACTGTTTCTGACATTGGCATAGCCGTTAATAGAGCAAACCCTGTGACTCTAGCACTTTGAGAGTCTAATCTGACAGCCTTAAATATTTCTTGAACTACCTGAATCATCTGCTTTTCAGGAGATCCAGAGCTGTCATAGCAATCAAGCGCGACAACAATCAATTTCCGTCTCCTCCTTAACATGGGATACTTACTTGCCGCATTATCCAGCAGCTTATTTCCACCTCCTTCATCTTTTGGACCAGACTCTGGTTTCTTCATCCTGCTTAGGACACGTTTCACTTGATCTTGCACCTCATGATCACCAGCAGTTGCAGTCACATCAAGAGATTCATTCAATGAAGATTTATCGCCATCAACTGAGAGCCTAAGAGACATATCTTGTACATCCTTAAGGGAGTCATTGAGAGACCCTTCAGCAGCCATTTCATCCCCTGGGGTGTCAGTCTGCCATTGTGGATGCCTCATGCGGCAGGCTGCTACCCTAGTCAAGTAAGTCCGGCAGTGTTCAGGCCATGAGTAGAGGTGTATGTTCTTCCAACCGTTCTTTCTGCATTCACCCCACAAATTCTTCTCCGATAACAACTTAAGCAGTGCACCAGCAATTGATTGCTGATCATGTGGGTCCACAAGCAAGCCGTTATTTAGCGCCTGAAATTCACAAAGTGAAATAAGAAAAGTAACTTGGTCAACATAATTGAAATCACTGTCTTCTTTCTCTTAGCTTGCATCAATTGAATTTCCAATTAGAACAAAGTAGACAATTAAAAACTATAACAACTATCTAAAAGAATTCTGAAATGTCTCAGTTGTCCCTTCTCTTCCTTCTAGGTGAAGGGGCAGAGGAGATGTTCACTTCATAACATCTCAAATGCAGCACAAATGTTATATAAAAAATGTTATACCCGATGTATGTCAACCGGTCCACCATTTTTTGTAGCCACCATTGGAAGCCCGTGTGCTGCTGCCTAAGTCATATAAAAAAAATGTATTAAACTGCGGAAGTCTCATTTTCTGGAGAAAGTATAGATCACTTTAAAAGACAGCATGCAGTAAAAACTAACCTCAATCAAGGTTAGCCCAAAAGGCTCCACTAATGCTGGATTTATGAAAACTCCCTGCCATAATCTAACCCTTTAGCACAGAATATTTGTTAAAACTATATTGCTATCTAGAAATTGTGAAAAACAAACCAACCTTTGTTTTTGCAGCAAGCCGATATATATCTGGAACATCTGATTGCTTGTGATGCTTTGGATAGGCCACTTGCCCATAAAGGTCATACTTATCAATCAGTTTCAACACTGTGGTAAGCACACTAGCATTTCCAGCAGACATCTCATCTATATAGTCCCTATTCCCCATTATCAGCGTCTGTTCAAAGCATATTAGTAAGTTGTCCGAATTTTTAATTGCATTGCTTAATGGTAAATTGAGTTATTGGACAAATCCACTTACAAGATTAGCTAGGTCTCTCAGAGGACGGCATTCTCCAAAGGCCTTCAAAAGAGTGGTTAAGTTCTTCTTTGGATCTGGTCTTGACAATGCCAAGATCATTGGCTTGTGAGGATTTGTAAGGAACCGCATCAGCTGCCAAAGGATTTTGAATATGAGGCAACAACAGGATTAAAGTTTAAATGCACGATTATATGATGAGGAAAAGGCACTCACTTCTGACCATATTGTTGGAAGTGCTTTTGGGGAAGACCCATCGGTACCACCAGTAAGTTGAGTAAGTTCCCCATCAACCTCAGGAGCATCTTCTTGGACCACAACATTACTGAAATCCATGCCCGGAGGTATAACCTACATAGGGAATGTACTTAGTTAGAAAAAGAAACAATCTCATTGCCATATGTCATGTTCATCTTCATTTTCATAGATAATTCAAAACCATGAATTTAGATTTCAATCCTCAAGTTTCTTCTTGTAGTCAAATTGGGATTGGAAGTAAATTATACATTCTGGATCTGGAGTCATTCTTCCTTTTCTAGTTATCCATATTATAAAAGGACCAAGATCAGGAAACAAAAATTAAAACAAAATCATTTACACATATTCTTTCTTCCTTTTTCTAATTTATCAACACCCAAAATATCCTCGATAAGGCAGTGCTAGATATAATAAAAAAGAAAAAAGCAAAACAAAGAAAATCATGAGGAATAAAGCCACTGGCTTACCACCATCCTCGGCATGTAACGGCCATGGCAATTTACTCCTCGCCTTGCACGAGCACGCAACACTTTCTCAAGCTTGACATCAAACCCGTCATAAAGTCCCCATTGCTCGTCGATCTCTTGTTTTGTACTTGTAATAACAACTTCTGCAGCATCAAGGGAAAGCTCTTCTGCTTCTATCCTCCTCATAATCTTATATGTAGAATTGATGTCCTCCTTTGATTGGCGTCCCTGCTTAAGAAGCTGTTCTAGCTTGTTTCTTCCAAGTGAGTGTCCTGTTAGAACCATTGGGACATTCAAAGCACCAGAAAGAAGAGCAGCACTATCCCCTGCATCTGCATAGTGGCCATGAATTACATATGGCCAAACAGGCTGGCCTTTGCCAATCTGTTCACCCAAAACTTTGGACATGTTAAGAATGTGAGCTAGAGCACCATCTACAAATTCTTGAATATATGGCCAGAGTAATTCTTTGCTGAGGTATTGATCACGTGGACCAAATGGGATTCTAATAATATATGCTCCACTGCTTTCTCCTAGATCACCATCACCATCTTCAGGACCTGCAGTTAGCATCTCTGCTGGTTCACCATAACTCCAATCAACCTCAGGAGATGACACTTGACGAGTAAAGAGATCTACCCTATAAACCCCAGGCATCCTTGCAAGAGCTCGAGAAAGCTCTACCACATATTTGACCTGATATTGTTTTCATAAAGCCAAACACAGATTCAAATGCAAGTAACAGGAAAACAAATTTATCTTTATTCCATGTACTCAGAGAAATGCTATGGCCATCAGATACCTGTCCACCTGTATCAGAGTCTCGACCGAGCTCCATGTTTTCTCCCCGGACCAAACCATGTAAACTGTTGATCAAGAAAAGTAATTTATTGATTAACTGCTCAAGTGTAAATTTTTTTAACTGAAAACTAGCCTGGTCTGTATTAAGAAACCAGAAACTCTAACATGATGATAAGCAACGCATATATTTATACCTGATAAGAACAATATATAGCTTCTTTTCCTTTTTATCATCTGACCACACTTCCAAGTTAGAAATGTTACGCTGGAACTTTTTCCTTGGAGTATCCGATGGCAGCATTTCCCCCAAACCATCCCCCTTCTCTCCTTCTGACAAATCTTCTGACATGTCTTCAGTTGCATCCCTACGCCCTTGTTCCCGCTCCCATCTGCGGTTTGCCAACCGTTGATGTTCCTCGATCTCCAACTAACAAGAGTCATGCGAGTATAGTGTATTAGCCGGGCTATCGTCTTCCCCAAAACTAAAGTAAACAAAAA